TTTTCAGAGTTGGGGGATGAGTTATACCCGGTTTTGCGGTTGAGGGATGCTATTCATATAAGGCCAAGAGTTGAGGGAGGGAAAGTGGACTTATTCCTTGTCTACCTCAACTATATTCTGGTCTGATTTTGCTCCCTAAATCGTAAACACTACTTAAAAAAATGATTTTCCTGTACAGGAGCTCTTATTTTCTCGTGCGGACCATAACTGGTCGCGTCTGCAAAAATCATCATCCATTTTCACGTGCGGCTCCTTGAAAGGATTGCACGGAAAAATCGATTTTCTCAGTCGGGTCTCTTAACAGACCCGCACGCGACAATAGGATTATTTTCGCTTACGGGTTTGTTAAGTGACCCGCACGCAAAAATAGCCCACACCACTTTATCTCCCCTCCTATCTCCTCCCACTCCTCACTTTATTTCCGCGTCGGCCTTCGCGCCTCCACTCCCTCTCTGTCTCCCACTGCTCACTCCTCCACCCACTTTATCTCCTCTCCCTCTCACTTTATCTCTCTATCTCCCCTCTACCGTCTCCCTCTCCCACTCCCCCTCTACCCACCTCCCAGCAACGGCGGCCACCTCAGCTAGGGCGGCGGTGGCAGCGGTGTCGGCGAGGGCGACATCAGCGAGAGCGGCGGAGGCATCGATGGTGGCGGCGGCATCGGCGAGTGCGGCGGCGGCATTGGCTAGGGTGGTGGCGACGGGGCGGATCCGTTGCCAGCCACCGTGGGGACGACGGTGACGGGCCTCGGGCAGGGTGGCGACGACGACGGTGGCGGGCCTCGAGCAGGGCGGCGGCGATGACGTCGACGGCGGTGGCGACAACGGTCTCGGTGTCTGGATCCATCAACGACGGTGGGCCTCGGCTAGGACGGCGGTGGCTGGATTAGGGTTAGGATTTTGATTTTCTTTTTTTTGTTTTGATTTTTTTTATTTTTCTCGTGCGGCGCACGCGAAAAACCAATTTTCGTGTGCGGGTGACGCTTCGTTCTAGACGGGCGGAAGATTCGCACGCAAAATTAAATTTCGACCGCACGGAAAAATCGTTGTTGTACTAGTGAAAACCAGTCAACTATTAAAAGTGGTTCGTTCTTTGGGCGGTTTAGACGGTGGTTTCATCCTATATGATGTTTATATGACATTACAATCAGAAAGGACATTGGTTTCATCATGTGGGGTGCCAATGTGGCATTACAAGTACATGAGAAAAAACAATGTTCTTCCTACAGGTAAGTGGCATAGCCTCTTCTTCCTCTTATACTAGTCTAACCCCTCTCTCCCCAATCTCTTCCTCAAAGTTGAAGTAGACCAGCGTTTGACTAGAGTCAAGCAGCGCATCAGGGTTCGTGGAGACGAGGGTGTTGGTGTCACATATCTGGTCAGTGGATACGAGCCCCCATGAAGATGCCATAGGCGACAAAGTTGTTGAGCGAGCAGCGGCGGCAGTCGGCAAAGGCGAGCTAGGCAGGTGCTGGCATGTGTGCAAAGAGAGGCAGATATTGAGCAAACGGCAGGTGTTGAACAACCAGTGGTCGGCGAAGGCGAGGCAAAGTCAATGAAGAGAAGAGACTAGAATCTACAATAGTGCCCTCCATCATGTGCTCCTCTAACCCCTTCCTCTCACTTGCCCTATCCCCTCTCTCTCTCTCTCTATCTGCCTGCCTGTCCATTCCTATGCACTGTCGGCCCCTACCCATTTTCCCTCGCCTCGCCACCACCCGAGCAGGCCAAACCTAACTACATGGGCATGGAATGGATGAGCCCCCAATGATAACAGCCGTAGACGAGACGGTGTCAAGGCGACCCGCTTGCACTGCCCAGGTCATGGTTTTACCGTCGCTACCTCTAGACCGTCTCCATTGGCAGGCCACTCAATCTAGAGCTTGAACCCCACAAGTGCCGCCCCACAGCTCCTCAAGCTCCACTCTACGATGCTCGCCTCCCTCCCGCTCTCCCCCACTTCGCGGCACCATGATCCGACAATGGCGCCTCTTCATCTACCACCACTCGCATGCACATTTATAAAGACACATCGTTGCCCCTCAACTATGTTGTTTAAATGAAGGAGAGAGAGGGAAGACCAGAACATATGGCAGAGAGAGGATAAGGGGAGTTGGAGAAAGAAGATGAGGATGGCGGAGTGGCGACTTACTGTCAAGTGGATCCCATTAAGGTTTTTATTTTCTCTGTTATTGTAATGCTACATAGACATATTACGTATGATGAAATCACTATCACTTTTATTTGTATAATAATGCCACGTATGAACCGCATAGGATAAAACCACCATTCAAAGCCCTCGCCCGCCGCCTCTACCACCGAGCACCGTCCTTCTCCGATCCCGACGATGACCCTCCGTTCACACGGGTCACGGAGTGCCCGCCTCGACCTGCCTCTAAGCCTGCACATGCGACGAAGAAGAAGAACCAGGGCGGCAGTATCAAGCAACCGGAGCTGGTGCGCTCCGACCTCCCGTTCAACTTCCGGTACTCCTACTCAAAGACGGACCCGGCGTGGAGGCCCATCGGGTTCCAACGAGACCTTGTTGGTAACACAAAAATCCTAGAGAGGGCGAGGATCGAAAGTCATGGCCTGAGAAGGATTTTTTTTTCAACCTTTTTTAATTTTAAAAATAAACCCTTCCAAAACTTATTTTTCAAATCAGAACCTTTTGGCCACACCCGCTTACCTAGCGTGGCAAAACAACACTGACACACTACACACAATCGGCGTGACAGTTTTATCCTGTTATGCCAGCGAGGGTGGTGTGGTCAAATAATATTGTCATGCCAGCCAGATCGGCATAACAGTGTTGTTTTGCCACGTCAGTCCGGCTGGCGTAACCAAAAGGTTCGGACTTGAAAATAAGTTTTAAAAGGGTTTGTTTCTAAATTAAAAATTTTAAAAGTTCAAAAAAAAACCCTGAGAAGCGACCAAAGCGATAAAAGCGATATGTTCTAAAAGGAGTTGGAGGAGGACATCTTAAGGGTTGATTGAACTAATTTTGCTACTGATCTAAAGAATCTGCAGAAGTTGTACTGAGTAGTTGTCAGATGCTTGTTGTGCAGATCTAGATGGAGCTAATGCTTTGGCCATGGAAGGAATGCTTGCATTACTGCATATGTATATCGTGTGACACTTGATGATTCTGAAGTGGTCAATAATAAGATGCTGAGCTAGCGACTGGATCATCTCCTCCAAACTGGTCTTGATGAATACTATACTACATTTAATTGGATGGGCTAGTGGATTGATTCACACCTTGCTTCGCCAAAAACCACATTAGTCCCGCTTCCAATTGAAACCGGGACTAAAGAACATTTTTAGTCCCGGTTAAAAAAGCGTGTGGCCCCTTACTACTTTTAGTCCCGGTTAATATTACCAATCAGGACTAAAATTCAACCCATCGTATATAGTCCCTCGGACTTATCCTCAAATCCTCTATCTCAAAGTCTTTCTCCTCATCTTCCTCCTCTCCCCCTCTCCTCTCTCTCTTATCCTCTCCTATTTTCTTGCTCTTATCCACTCTCTCATTCCTTGCAGAAGCAGTAGCGAAGCGGCGGCCTGGCGCGGCACGGGGGCGGCGGCGGCCTGGCACGGGGGCGGCGGCCTAGTGCAGCGATGATGGCCTGGCGTGGGCGTGGAGGTGGCATCGGCGGCCCGCGCGGGGGCAGTGGCAGCGGTGGCCTGGCAATGTGATGTGTTTGGATCTGTAAATTTGTGATGTTAATTCGATCTGTGAATTTATGGATAATTTTGTAATGTTTATGTGAATGTGGATGATTTTATTGTTGAGTTTGGTTAGAAATCAATATGCAAACAGCAAAGAACAATAAAAAAACTTTAGTCTCGGTTGGTAACACCAACCGAGACTAAAGATGGTAGCACCGGCCACGTGACACTACCTCTTTAGTCCCGGTTGTTTCAACCGGGACTAAAGATGAGCATTTTAGTTCCGAATTCGTGGTCCCGGTTGCATACCCGGGATTAAAGGGGTTGCGAACCGGGAGTGTAGATGCATTCTCCAGCAGTGTTGTCTTCTCATGTTGTCTCCCAGAAACAGGGCGTGGCCGACTAATTAATTACTACCTTTATCGTTTAAATATATAATGTTATTGATTTGATAAGTTGGATCATTTATCTTATTAAAAAAGTTTATATAACTATCACTTATTTGGTTGTGATTTGATTTATCACTAAAAATTCTTTAAACATGAGTACTTATATCTAGTATGTTTAAAATATTTAAATAGGACGAATGGTCAAAAAATATTAACGGTGTTATACATTAGGGATGTAAAATTTAGGTGTGTCACATCGGGTATTATATAGGGTGTTGCATGGGGTGTTCGGCCACTAATAAAAAAACTAATTACAGAATCCGTTAATAAACCGCGAGACGAATTTATTAATCCTAATTAATCCGTCATTAGTAAATGTTTACTGTAGCACCACATTGTCAAATCATGAAGCAATTAGGCTTAAAAAATTCGTCTCGCAAATTAGTCGCAATCTGTGCAATTAGTTATTTGTTTAGCCTATATTTAATACTTCATGCAGGTGTTCGAACGTTCGATGTAACATTGGCCTCATTTCAAAAGCTCACCGGATCGATCGGCCGCCTACTAACTACTGCATTCTCCAACTTTCTTTGTCCGATCTCTACTAGCTAATCTCTCCGGGACTTATTCATCATCACGATTGACAAGTAGTTGTGCCATGTATTAATTATATTCTAACTTATTATTTTGCAACAGAGAACATCAAAATCGTGAGACATGTTCTAATGGACAGTAACATATGATGAGTATGCTGAGGAGTTCGGGATGACAAATTATATTATTCTGCCTTATTAGCTGAGTACATGCAGTTATGTGCCAATGAATTTACTTACAATCATGGAAATGACATGAAAGGCACCTATGAATCTATGAAATTAATCTTCCTAGTAGTAGTAGCTAGCCAATTAACATACTTATTGGAATATCCATGGCAGTACCCTTACAAAATGATAGCCAGCAGGAACATAATAAATTAATCCAAACTCTCGTCTGCAAACAGAGTTCAACTATAACAAGTTTCAAGAGGTAATTAACATGCACAATTTCTTCGGATAACAGAGATTTATGCATCCAGACAGGCAAAGTTCAACATTGTTTCTCTAGACATATTGTGTCCTCCATGCACTAAAATTGTTGCTTAAAAAATAGTTCATATTTGTTCGCGCGGCTGGATAGGTCTGGAGCATTATTGTTGAGCTATTACAGATCCAATACATTGTTGTTGAGGGCGAACTCAAACACATCGTTTACATCTTCATTAGGATCAGCTGGACCTATATATTTGACAAAACTTATTAATAAACATGACATATATAAACGTGCATACAATTGATTGGGGATATTCGTGATGAAAAAAAATAATGTTACTGAAAAATGTAGAGAACATTTTCCTAAGATGTTAGTTTTAATTAACTATCATAACCATCAAAATTCAAAAGTACATGGAAAGTGTGGAAGCAAATAATCATGTATGATACTCCCTCCATTTCACAACGTAAGACTTTCTAGCATTGCTCACATACATATAGATGTTAATGAATCTAAACATATATATATATATATATACACACACATATCTAGATTCATTAACATCTAAATGAATGTAGGCAATGCTTGAAAGTCTTACATTGTGAAACGGAGGAAGTATCATCTATGCCTAACAAGTTAAATGGCTTCATCTTTAAACAAATAGGCTGTGTTCTTTTCTCCCTTTTCCCAACTCACTTCCCTCGATTTCCACGCACGCTTTTCAAACTGCTAAACGGTGTATTTTTTGCAAAAATTTTCTATATGAAAGTTGCTTTAAAAAATTATATTAATCTATTTTTCAAATATTTTAGATTAATACTTAATTAATCTCACTATAATTGCGTGCTTGGTTTTCCGTGTCGGGAGACAAGAGGAAACTAACACATATTAAAGTACCTGGAGCTGCTTCCTCTGGAATTTGTGGTACATCTGCAAGGCCTAGGTCAGGCTGCTGCTGATTTAACCCTGGAGAAACATTATATAAACATCTTTCTTATTTCAAACTGCATTTGCTAAATGCTCCAAATATGCATGGATGAGTTACACAATTGCTTACCTGCTGGCTCCTCCTTGTTTTGTTGTACGTTGTCATCAGTGTCTGTTTGGTGCACAAAGCCAAAGAAAGATGCATATGTTATATGAAAAGAAACTTCACATGGACTATTTATTAGTTTTTTAATGGAAGACTATTGACTAGCTAGTATTCAACTTCATTTACTTTCTTATATCTCTCAATCAGAATTACTACTAGTTTATAATTTTACAAATTACCAGTTTCTTCCTCCATAATTTGAGCTATGCCATTTGCAGTGGTTGATTCCTGCAGCATGGTGATACCTAGGAAAAATATTATACCACTTAATTACTAGTTTTCAATTTTCACTATATATACTGTTAAAAAAAACTGTACTTATTGATTTCTCTGCATTTTTCTGTGACTGATTCATATTTTTTGTTGCAGAGTGAGACCTATATCTACAGAAAATTATCTTAGCAGAAAAATTCAGTTTCTATATATTAAATTATTTAATCCAACATACTGTTGTTTGGAGCATATTTCTAAGAATAGATGTACCTGCTGCTTCCAGTGGAATTTGTGGTCCACCATGTGCAAGGCCTAGGTAAGCAGGCTGCTGTTGATTTAACCCTATAGAAACATTATATATATATATATATATATATATATATATATATATATATATATATATATATATATATATATGCCACTTTGTTATTTAAAACTTCCCGCATTTGCTAAAATGCTACTTCCTCCGTTTCACAATGTAAGTCATTCTAGCATTTCCAATATTCATATTGATATGTATAGATTCATTAACATCAATATGAATATTGGAAATGCTAGAATGACTTACATTGTGAAACGGAGGGAGTACAAATTAATCTGCATGGATGAGTTACAATTGTTCACCTGCTGGCTCCTCCTGGTTTTGTTGTATGTTGTTCACAGTGCCAATTTGGTGCACAAAGTCTGCAAAAAGCCAAAGAAAGATAACAGTTTTTTTATGGAAGACTTTGGTTATTATTCAACTTCATTTACTTCCTAATATCTCAATCACAATTAGTTTATAATTTACAAATTACCAGTTGCTTCCTCCATAATTTGGTCTTTGCCATGAGCAAATGTTGTTGATTCCTTCAGCTTGATGATACCTAGAAAAAGTATTGTACCACTTAATTAGTAGTTTTCAGTTTTCACTATCTATACTGTTAAAAAAAGGGTAAAAAAAGAAAAAAAAATAGTTTTTGTTTTATGAAAACTACTGGCAATATATATGGACTCTCTTTTTTTTTCTTTTTTACCCTTTTTGTTTTTTGCAAGGATGAAACATTCAATCACAAAGATTCATGATCACATACCTGAAGGTCCATCAGTCGATGCCCTTTTTGATTTGGCATGATTGGATGAAGAAGCTTTATTCCTTTTTCTCGTTTGGGGAGGCTTGAATTTAGTTACAGGTGCCGCTAATGCTAGAACTATAATTCTAGCATCCTTCTCTTGCTTCATTGATGCCATCTGAAAAATCATTTTGTTCCCATTCAGTGTAAACAATGATGAAAATATGATGTGTATAGGCACCAAATTCAGGCAATAGATGTGCCACATATATATATCATAATTGCTAAGGGTAAAAATTTAGATAAACCATGCCAGACATATATATTAAAATTCGCTGTTATGAAATAAAAGCTTACATATATCTGTATGTGGACTGAACCAGAGAGAGCTAGCTAGGTGTATCTATATATATGCACACAGAGTGTGTCCGTGTGTGTGTGTGTGTGTTACGTACACAAAGTGGAAACATAAACTGTAATAAAAATGTGTGTGTGTGTGACACACAAATTAGTAAAAACGCAAACTGTATGCTAATTAAAGACACAGTATTTCATTAATTCGCTCTGTCCTAGCTAGCTACTACGGTACCTACGTCCTAAAATGTAAGTATTTTTTATAGACACGAGTATTAAGAAAGTATGTGAAAATAATTTTAAAAAAAATTATAATTGGTTGAGAAGAGAAAGTAGGTGAAGAAATTAAATGGATAACGATTGTGATTAGTTGTGAGATGGTAGGGAATAGATAGTTATATTTTAAAACGGGGTTGTATTACGTATGAAAGATAATAGAAACCCTGGATGGATTGGCATATCCTTTCTGTTCTTTCCCAGACCTAATATATTAAACAGTTCATTCACAGATCCTACATGCTCCCTACATATATACAGATCTACTGGCGACTGAGAGTAGTACTCCTACAAAATAGCCCGTACTGCTTCTAACAGATCTAGACAACGAGCTAAACAAGAAGATGAATCTACCATTCAAATCAACAAAGAAATGGATAGAAACAAAAAAAAAACAGGTCAGGACTATATATATGAGATCTGTACACGTTTCCAAGCAATGAAAGATCGACTGATTTACACCGAACAAAAGGTTTGAGACAAATCCTGAAATCAACTCACTAATGGAGAAACCATCTTTACTGGGTTGGCACAAAACCACAATAGTCCCGGTTTGAATAGGAACAAACCGGGACTAAAGATCATTTTTCGTCCCAGTTTAAAACTTCGATGATTTTTAGTCCCGATTGGTAATCATCTTTAGTCCCGGTTCATTCAATATCAAGACGTGGCAGGGACCCTATTATCTTTAGTCCCGGTTGATGTCAACAACCGGAACTAAAGATTAGATATTTAATCCCGGTTGTTTATATCAACAGGAGAAAAGATCGAAAAAAAAGCGCGCGCGAGAGGGACTTAGAAAAATCAAGCGCGTGAGGAAAGACGCCCGGTACTAAGAAAAAAATCTATCTCTTATCTCTTCTCCCTCTACCTTATCTTCTTTCTCTTCTTATCTTCTCTTCCTTTCCTCCTCTCACTCCCAGCCCTCTCCTCCTCCTCCTCCTCCTCCTCCTGCCCTCCTCCCCTGGGCGCTCCCCTCTCCTCCCCATCCCCTTCCTCCCCTCCCCTCGCCCCTCCCACCGGCGGCGGCGGCCACGGGCAGCCGAGCCCGCTCCCAGACCGGAGCGGCGGGCGACCGGGCGGGCGGTCGAGCCCCCTCCCAGATCCGGGCGGCCGGCGAGGCGGCGGGCGGTGGCGCTCCCCGGGCGGCGGCAGAGCCCGAGGCGGCAACGTGGGCGGGCGGGCGGGCAGCCGGTGAGGCCGGCGAGGCGGCGGGTGACGGCGGAGCCTGAGGCGGCAACGCGGGCGGGCGGGCGGCGAGGCGGCGGACGACCGGCGCACTGTGTGGATGTGGATGATTTTCTGTGCGCCCCGATCTGTGCGATGTGGATGATTTTCTGATTTGTGCGATGTGCGATGTGTGGATGATTTGTGTAATTTTGTTGTAGATTTTGGAAATGTTTTTGTGATTTTGTGAGATTTGTGATGTATTTGGTAAACAGAGAAAATGCAGCTTGTTGTATTTATAGGGATTTTGTGAATGATTTGTGGTGCTCGAATGATTTGTTAATGATTTTATGAATGATTCCTGGTGCTAAGCAGTAGAAAAAAGAAAAAAAAGAAAAAAAAACATTAGTTCCGGTTGATGATAACAACCGGGACTAAGATCTATCTTTTGTCCCGGTTATTTTAACCGGGACTAAAGATGTCTACTTTTAGTCTCGGATTTATAGTCCTCGGTTGCATAACTTTAACTGGAAGTAAAGCCCCTTTCTCCAGCAGTGACTCAAGACTATATGAAAATAGACCTTGGAACAAATAAATGAAGGTTAGCTCTAGCGCTAATATAACCTACCAAAAGTTTGAGACAAATTAATCCATGAAATCAACTCAAGACTCCATGGAACAGATAATCTTTGCAGCTATAGATCTAGTAAAAACCATATGATATGAAGGTTAGCTCTACCGCTAATATAATTAACCTGCCAAAAGGTTGAGACAAATCCTGAAATCAACTCAAGACTCCATGGAACAAACAGATCTTGGAACAGACTTAATCTTTGCAGTTATAGAGATCTAGTAAAAACTATATGATCTGAAAGCTAGCTCTGGCTAATCTAACCTAGACAAAAGAATTTCAGAAAGTTACATACCACCGTCGATCGAGTTCGTGATCTCTCCTCGGATGAATCGAGACTTGTTGAGAGCAAGATCAGCTTGAAGCATCTTTGGTTTTCAAATTTGAGGATGCAAGCTAATTAACCCAGAAATGGGGGGTATTTATTCTGCTAGCTTACCTGTTTAAGGGCACAGGCGCGTTACTAATTACCTGCCTCCTTTGGACACCTCGCAACTTAGCTAAGCATAATTAATTAGTTTCCTGTAAACCACGCCGTAAATCTTCAACTTGAAAAAAAAGAAATGCCAAAAACACATAATTAGAATCAATAATTCGCGAAAAGATCACTGATCAGCAACGGTAGCATTCGAGCTAATTAAATTTCACGTGGAATTTGCCAGCTTCAATTCGTACGTTTCCTAGCTCCAGCTGGTAGTAACGCTCGTCCTCTCTGCATGCAAGCATGGAGCATGTGTTTGCACCCTGCAGTGGGAACGCGTCCTGATGCAGTGCATTTGATCCAGCCCATGAGAACCAGATTGGGCTTAGGCCTCTAGTTGATTGGGTCTAAAGTATGTGTTTGGCCCACTTTTTTGTAGGAAAAAAAATTATTTTGCCTTCCTCGACTATAGCCAGTCTGATTTTGCATCCTCAGCCGAGACTCCCTCAATTATTAAAACCGGTTTGTTTTACCTCTCTGAGCGGTTTGGACAATGGTTTCATCCTATGTGATGTCTACGAGGCATTACAATTAGAATTGAAAGGACATTTGTTTCAGCCTATGTGGCGCCAACATAGCAATCACGGAAAAAATAAAAATATCTAATGGGACCCACATAAACTCATGATATGTGTTGTAGCAGGAGGCAAACACCATCCCCTTATTGGACCGAAACATGCTCACTCACCTAGCAAAGAGCCAAAGAGGTTTTTACTCGCGGCAAATACTTCTCGATCGACCTAATGTAGCAGGTAAATACTAGAATACCAGTGAATGCGGCAAGAAGTCCAGTCTGGAAAAGAGTATTCTAGCCTACCACAAGAGGGAAATACCATTCGACCAGGGCAGATAAAGCCTGAAGGTTATGTCGTTGAGCAAGGAATATTCCCCAAGAAGATACTGCGGGGACCACTCCAACACTCTTGCAAGCTGGCGCCAGATATTTCAGGACCATACAAATGTACAACCATACCCTTAGAATTTCTAACTTTATAGGGGTATTATAGTAACTTCTTATGTACTCTTAGGGGTATGATTATAATCTCACATGTACCTCCAAAGGCTATAAGCCGGTCCTAATCTTGTAATCAAATACGAGATGAGAGATATCATAATACCATACGATACATGGGATTTTACTCTTCGAGCTCATCTCATTTTTTAGGATAGGAAGGGAAAATTGTACTTTCCCGCCTATCCCCAATTTGTCAGTGACCCAAGGTCATGACAATATGATTAGTCGTTTCTTCATATCCTACTAGTCTACCCCTATCTCTCCCTTAAAGTTGATGGAGATGAGCATATGGCCAAAATCAGCGCCACGTTAGGGTCCAACAAGGTGAGGGTGCGTTGGCATTGTAGATCTGGTCAGCAGACGTGAGCCCCATGAGAATATTGTCAGCAACGACGATGTTGAGAAGGCAGTGGTAGTCAGCAAAGGCGAGAAGAGGCAAAATCTAGATTAGCAGCACCCACCATCATGTGCTTCTCCCATCTGCCATCTTCCTCTCCCTTGCCCGGTCTCTTTCACGTGCCTCCCTCTTCGTCCCTACGCAATGTCGGCCCCTCCCCATCTCCCCTCACTTTGCTGCCACCTGAGCAGGTTGGATTTGACCGCACGAGTGCAGGCAAGAGGAGACTCCACAACCACTAAAATCTAGATTAGCAGCGTCCACCCTTATGTGCTTCTCCTATCCACCCCTTCCACTCTCTAACCCTCTAACCTCTTCACATGCCTCCCTCTTCGTCGCTATGCACCATCAACCCCTCCCCATCTCCCCGCACTTCATTTCCACCTAAGCAGGTTGGATTTGGCCGCACGGGCATGAGCGAGCCGCCAATGACAATGCCCGCAAGCGAGATGGTGACAATGTGTCCTGCTTGCACTGCCTAGACTGGTTTTAGCACCTCCACCTCACCGAGCTCGATCTTTGTGCATCGCCATACATGTGTATCACCATGCTTCACTACATTGAGCTCCAATCCATTACGCTTGCCTCCCTCTCGAGATCCCCCGCTTCACACCACGACCTAACAATACCGTATGTTCCGCAGATCTGTGGAGAACATGCAGATTTATGGAGACGCCGCTGCCCCTCAATTGCCACTACTGGCCTGATACATGAGAGAGAGGGAAGACTGGAAGAGATGGAGAGTTGGGGGGAAGAAGATGTCGGTGGTGACTAAAGTGTCATGTGGGTCCCATGAAGATATTTATTTTTTTTCATGTGATGTCAGACAGGCATTGAGCCACATCACCCACAAAATAAGAGGCATTGGATCATTTCCATGCTTCATCACAACCATCGAATAGACATTATACATCGACAATTATCATTTTTCATTGATTATGAGGTAACTCAACATTCATTGACCACTTAATGTAGTATGCTATAAAAAAAACCATTAAAATGTATTTCATTTTTATATCTGAGGTGTTTTTACATGTCCATAATATATCTCATGTCCATCCATTGAATTTTTATAACGAATAATCCGCCGTAACGCATGATATCTGTGAGTTTTTTTTTTAAAAAAAAGAAGAATTGATGGTACGAAAATCAGACTTTGCATGGCTATAGTTGAGCGAGGCAAAAATAGACTTTCAGCTAATTTTCTGTTTGGAATAAGTTCATCTGAGGTCCGTTAACTTGTCAACGAATCCGATTTTCGTCCCTCAACTGAAAAATCAGATACAATGGGTCCCTTAACTATCAAAACCAGTGCAGATTAGGTCCCTCGGCTGTTTTGAGGGTGGTTTTAGCTGACGTGGCGCCTACGTGGCCAATTTGACTCGGTCTTCATCTGACGTGGCATTGACGTGGCGCCTACATGGCAATTCGATCCGAAAAAAATAATAAAACCATGGGACCCACATGTCAGTTTCACACACAAATTAATAAAAAATGGTGGGGCCCACATGGGCTCCACATTTCATCCTCACCCCTCCTCTTCTTCCTCATCTCTCCCCATCTCCCCTCTCTTCATCTCTCTCTCCTCTCCTTTCTCTCCAGGCGACGGAGGGAGGCCGACGAGCACGCGTGGAGGCCGACGAGCAGGACAGCACCTTGGCGGCGAGGCGTGGACGAGCGAGCGAAGCGGGCTGGCGGAGCAGAGGAGGAGCGGCGGCGGGCGAGCTCCTCGCCCTCGCAGGGCTTCATCGTCGAGGAGAGGTCGCAATCCATCGTCTTCGCAGGGCGTCGCGCGGCGAGGCTGCCGGTCGTAGCAACGCCGAGGAGCGGCCGCACGGGACGGGGTCGTGGCGTGGAGTAGCTAAAAGGAGGCGAACGGATGGTCAGTGACGAAGTCCACCAACTTCGGCGGCGGCGAGTAGTAATCGTTGCACAGCGTGAACCCGAGATCATCGTCGAACTCCTGCCCACGGCGGCGGAGCTAGAGTTCGTTGTGGGTGTCGCCGCTCGTTGCCGCCTTCTACGGCAGGTGGAGCACCTTGAAGCCGTCGTGGCAGGCGACATGGTGGTAGCTCCTCGCCGGCCGCTGCATGAAGGAGACCACGACGGAGCTATCAGCAAACACACGCGATTTCAGTGGCTATCCTAGCTTGTCTGACGGTTTCAGAATGATGAACAGTGTCTAACGAAAAACGACAATGCAGAAAACCAGAGAAGAACAACGTTTTGGTGCTGCAAAACTGCGCAGCTTTTATGAGTTCTCTTCTTCCTTTTATTCTTCTCCACACAGGAGGTTGTTACTGTTGGAATTAATAGATGGGGTAAGGCCCATTCGAAGATTAATTCTTTGGAAAATCACAAAAGTCCACCTCATGGGAAGACATGCATGTGGACTTTAGTACCACCTTGCTTATTGTAGGAGAGGGGGACCTCCTTAAAAGGGAGGATGCCCTCCTAGCCACTTGAAGCATGTGTGGTGGAGAGAAGAGGGGGAACACGCGCGCGCTCTCTCACGCGTGCACGACGTTGTAGGATCAAGGAGGCCGACTAGAGGGGGGGTGAATAGGCGGTTTTAAAACTTAAATGGCACTTAAACAAAACTAACCTAAGTTGCTGCTAGGCAAGGTGAGGTGCAAGCTTAACTAAGCAACTAAGTTAAGTTTTGCAAACCTAAGTGATATGGGCTCAAATATGTCTCCATGAATGTAAATAGCACAAATGTAAATGCAACAAATAAATGAGACAAGAGACAAGGAATTTTTCAAAGGTTAACTAAGCAACTAAGTTAAGTTTTGCAAACCTAAGTGATATGGGCTCAAATATATCTCCATGAATGTAAATAGCACAAATGTAAATGCAACAAATAAATGAGACAAGAGACAAGGAATTTTTCACCGAGGTTCGGAAACTCGCCGGTTTCCTAATCCCCATTGAGGCGAGCCCAACTCCACCGCTCAACCACGAAGCCACCGCACGCCCCCTTCGTCAAGGGGTAGGCAAGGCGGGAGCCGGCCCACAGAGAGGACTACCCAAGCCTCGATTACTAGGGGTAGTTCTTCCTTCACTCCAATGGTGGTGAACTCCAAACCACTCACAAACAGTGCCGGGCCTCCTCCACAATCTCCTCGGAGAGGTCACCGGCCAACACCTCTACAAGCCGTCTAGGAGGCGGCAACCTCCAAGAGTAACAAGTCTAGGATGCTTGCCGAGGATGATCAAGTGCCACACTAGCTATAACAATGAAGCAATGCACTTGGATTGGCTTAACTCACTCTCTAACACCTCACTAGATAAACTAAGTGCACAAGGATGTGAGAGCTCTTGCAAGGGTTCAAGATAATGCAATGGAGTGCCAAAACCTTACCCTTGCTGCTGGGGAGTGGGTATATATACCACCAACCACCAAAACTAGCCGTTGGAACCGAAATCCCCAACTTTGTGCTCTGCCGGTCAGACCGCCGTTGTGAGGCCGGTCAGACCGGACTACTTTGTAACGGCTAGAAAACTAGCCGTTACAGGGCAATCATTGAGCCCACTCAACCTGGCTGGTCTGACCGCAGTGTAGTAGCCGATCAGACCATCCACGGCTCGGTCAGACCGCCGTCGGCTCGGTCTGACCGGTTGCGGCTCTGGCGGCTCTGTATCGCCACCAAAAACCAGACCAGTGCAACAGACTAGTGGGGCCGGTCAAACCGGCCTTACCACGCCGGTCAGACCGGCTAACAGACCCGGTCAGACCGGCCTAAGGCCCACGGTCAGACCGCAGGTCACTTTTCAGCTCAACCGACCGTTAG